TTTCCATCGATGTTTACAGTTGTTCCGTGCGCAAAAAGAGCTAAGTGAGCATATTATTTACTAGATGATGTGTATTTTCTACGTACCTCACCAGTAGAAGGTGAGGAGCCTATGCGTATTGATATTACGAGTCGAGATGCACACCGGAAAAGGATCTACTTAGCTGAGGGAAGTTTTACACCATACATAGCACCCAAAGCACATAGAAAGGCTAAAGTAAGAGAACTCAATAATATTGAGTTGGTCATGTGTGGCACTACATGAGTGAGTTCAAAGTAATAACAATGCGCCTGCACGAATTTAAATTTTTTTTGTCATCGATGGCGATGAATCACCAACACAAACAACACAAACCAGTCCACAGAACACACAAGCCTTACAGCCACCATGCATAGGAATCATGTCACACACTGTAGTCATTCCGACAGTTCATCTGCAACAGGGAGCAATTTGAGTGCGCTGTGCGTAGCCCCTTTTCTATAGATGCACTTCTTGGTATACCTGACGTTCCTATCAGCTTATCTGCCAATATGTCGAAGGGCACAAGAATAGCGCAAGGTGTTGTGCCAGACGATACCGCTATGTATGCAACACTTAATACAGATAGTCACTTTGAAACTACTACATGAGTTGCGAGAACATCATCCATACCAAAACAATCGCACACTACACAACGCAACAGCCGAATAATAGAGATTCACTTGATCCTCTGCCGTTTCTTGGCCAGTACATGAACAAGACCAGGTACGAGGACGCAACTAAATATCTTCGCCTAAGAACGCCGCCCATTACCGAACAAGAACGTGATGACCAAGGATATTATATGCCAAATATCGGCGAAGCCTGTGTAGAAAAACACATTTAGTTTGTAACTGTATTTAAAATATTCTAATACAAGATCTTTTTCCAATTTTTCCAAAGTGTTCTAAATTCACTTTGACGGTAGATATAGGATATTATAAACTAATTTTATAATCTGTCTTCCCGCCAACCTCCAAAATACAAAAAGTCTTTTTCTTTTTTATAACTTTTCTTCAGATGTAACTTTATTTATAATAGCTAATGTGATCACTTGACTTACGTTCTTATGTCTATCTACAAATTAAGCATGTGGTCATGAACACTTAGTACTTCTAGTGAAAATTATTCAATAAAGAACAGCTAGAGGTACGTCCTGTGTGATCGAGGATATTAAGGCTCTTACCAAGAGGCAGTCCTGATCATTCTTACACAAGCTAAATCCTAACTAACTTAAATTGTATCTTAGTTTATATAACATAGTTTAAAACATAGAAATATCCAACGAAGTTTACACCAGGAATAAAATTATCGATAGACACTTTCTCTGCAATGAGAAAGTTTGTATCGATGAGACTATGATGTCGTGGGACAACAGGGCTGGCTACGCTCAAATTCATTGCCCAATAAACCCAAAACAGTATGGGAATGAATGGATGACTTTAGCGTGTTGCCAGACCAATATTATTTGCCATATCGATCTATGTGAAGCCAAGGTTAGGCCTGATTATTTGCCGGTGTTTCCATATTATAATCAACTATCTACGATGCAGATTGTCATGCGGCTGGCAGATGGTATTAAGGGAAGTGACAGGAAAGTAATTATGGACAGCGGCTTCAGCGTGCTGTGCTTCGGGTTTTGTATACACGTACTGTAACAAATTAACCATTGGTTTACAGATCATTGCACATATGTGCACGGGACCAAATATCATAACCAACAGACTTAAAATACAATAGGAGGTTAGTTTAATATATACTAGTATACCTGCATGTTACAGTGGAACAATTACATATTAGACACAGTCCAGCCACGTCATGCATTTTACAATACATGAAAGGAGGTCAATCACACACAATTTGCACATACATTTTTCTCCATTAGGCTTTATTCATGACGTAAATAAAGTAATACAGAAAAGCTACGTAGACTCACTTTGAGAATTACTGATAACAACTATACACAATAGCCAATATGGAGGAACAACAATAGTATACTAAATATAAAACTTCATAAAATGCAAGAATAAAATATTGAGGGCATTAGGTACATCAAATTAGACCGACCCAATGGAAACTTAAGACGGAACTATGGTAATAGCCAACGTCAATATAATGATTAATGCCTATATATATATATATATATATATATATATATATATATACTAGTAGTA